CTCTCTCTCTCTCTCTCTCTCTCTCTCTCTCTCTCTCTCTCTCTCTCTCTCTCTCTCTCTCTCTCTCTCTCTCTCTCTCTCTCTCTCTCTCTCTCTCTCTCTCTCTCTCTCTCTCTCTCTCTCTCTCTCTCTCTCTCTCTCTCTCTCTCTCTCTCTCTCTCTCTCTCTCTCTCTCTCTCTCTCTCTCTCTCTCTCTCTCTCTCTCTCTCTCTCTCTCTCTCTCTCTCTCTCTCTCTCTCTCTCTCTCTCTCTCTCTCTCTCTCTCTCTCTCTCTCTCTCTCTTTCTCGCTCTCTCTTCCCGCCCCTCTCTCCCTCCCCGTCTCTCTTTCTTTCTCACTCTTTTTTCACTCTCGTCCTGTCTGTCTTACTTTTCCCCTCTCTCTTCATTACATCCTTACCCTTTCCCTCTCCTTTCCCCTCCTCTGTCCTTGGCTCGTGTTCGTCTCGTCCTTACAGCCCTCACATTCATCCTTGCTTTTTCTCTATTAACCCTCGAGGTTTATCTCCATTTTCACAGGGTCTATTATATCAGTATATCGGGGAGGTTCGCATTACACTCTGTTGTAGTGCAGTGCGTCATTTCAAACTGCACGTACTTTTAGCCATTAGATGATGCACATTACGTTGATTGGTACCGAATAATGAGTCAGCTGTACTTTTCCCAGGTGTAAGCGTGACAGACGAGCATGATCAGCTAGTCATCATTCCGGATTGCAGCGATGTAAAGGTATATGCTATATACTATAAAGCTAATAATGTAAGATAACAAGCTAATCCTGTGATGGGATACAATAGGTAGAGTATCTGACCAACTGCACAAGGAGGCTGTTTGGGTGTCTTTGTGTGTTGTTGTTGCAACAGCATCCGCAATATACTAATGGTGTTGTTCTATGAAGCCATTGCCCTTGTGATCAAGACTAAGAGCATAGGTGTACGTACAATAGCACCTTCTTTCTCCTTAATTTCATTATCTGCTTATTAGTATTTCATAATTGAAAACTAATCGTTAGTAACTGCTTACTAGTGATTAATATCTGATTTTAACACATTAAGAACCACTTAATTACTCATATTCATTGTCTACTTTAAGTAACTGCATGCTCAGGTTCCATCTGGCTAACCTTTGTCTAACTGCTCACAGGTTCACTTGGAAAGGTCGGGCTATACCATGCACCTCTTCATCGATCCTGTGACACCAGCAGAGTTCTCTGCGAAGGAGATCAGGAGTAGGATCACTGCTAGTAGAGGAATAGTGGATGAGCAGACTGGTGAGGGGAGCCGGCGAGGTCAGGATACTGATGCTGTGTCGGGTGCGCGAGGCAACGATGGTTTAGGGATCACTGCAGCACCTGCTGTTAACGTGGAAGGAAGGCTGAGCACGGAACAGTCGCAGAATGGCAGAGACCTCCTGCCAGAGTTACGTGGGCAAGGCACTGTTTACTCACAGCTGAAGCTTGGGGAAAGTGCTGCCCAGGAACGCAGGGCGGAGACAGAGGACAGTAACCAGGTGTCATCGTCGCCGGGCGCCGCGGTTCGCAGGGCGGAGACAGGGGGCGCCACGTTGACGCGGATCTGCGACGTGGACGTGTCCGTGTTCTTGCAGCACTGCTGCGTCGTGCTGCTGGACGACCTCGGCTTCTCGACCCACAGCCGCGACGTCGTCCGCGTCAGCGCCGACAACGTGCTGCTCGTCTGCTCGCCCGGCGCGCGCAGCAGCCAGCGCCACCTACACGCGCCGCCGCCGCTGCAGCAGCAACACCTGAACGTGCTGCTCTGCGTCGGCGACGTGCAGATCGACAACCAGATGTTCGGGCAGGGCAACTACGACTTTGGCGTCGTGCTGGCGTCGCAGGCGGGCGTGCGTGAGCACGGCGGCGGCGAGGGGGCGTGGGCGACGGCGGCGCACAGGTTGGGGGCGCTGCGGGCGCGCGCGGTCGCCGTCGTCGACGCCGTCGTGCTCCCGGCGGCGGCGGCGGCGGCGCCGCGCCTCGTCTCGCTGCGCGTCGAGCTGAAGCCCGTCGCGCTCTTCCTCGAGGACACCTTCCTCTTCGACGTCGCGCGTCTCGTCGACGGCTTCATCCCGACGCGGCTGTCGTGGCGGCGGCGCCGCCCGCGACCCCGCGACCTCCCGTCGGTCGTGTGGCGCGAGTCGGCAGGCGCGCGGCGGCCCGTGCGCCTGCAGGGGCTCACCGTCGGGCCGCTGTCGCTGCTGGTGAGCGCGCACGCCTCGCTGAAGCTGTTTCTCGCGTCGGACAGCACGCCGCTGTCGTTCGGCGCGTTCGAGCGACGCGACCTCTGCACGACCCCGTGGTGTCTGGCGAACGCGCTCCTGAGGCACTACGCTGCGGGCGCCGCGCTGCGAGCAGGTAGGGGGCGCCAGTGGATGCCCGAGTGTCGTCGTGTGCGATCGAGTCCTTTTAAGTGCTTGCTAAATGATATTAGTGATTTTTTCTCAGCCGGTAAACCTCTGGCTGTTTCTATATTCACACGTTAAATGTGAGAAGCGTATAGGAGATCATGTTATTTGTGTTTAAAAAACGAATCGGTAGTTTCTTTTGCTCCCGCTTTGATTGGATTGATTGAGTCTGAGTATTGTAATAATAAGAAGACAATTTCTTGTCATTTCTGCCATTTTTAAGAAAGTGTGCTAGAGCAATATTGAAAGAAGAGTTCTGGGCTAACATATTACAACATGTAATTCCACTCGGTTAACTTTCAGATCTCGGCGAAAATGGTCGACATATTGTTAGCAATGTGGCTAGGTTTTAAACCGACTATGTCACGACTAAATCAGAAAACTGCATAACTGTTGACAAATTATAACTATAAAACAGCGGATGAACTGCAAATGTGCACCTGCTATCTTCAGATTCGCGATAATGGAATGTTCAAACGGTCCCACAAAACAAGCACACCTGGTTACGTGACACAAATATTTAGATTATATATAGATTATATATAGACTGGTACCTATCTTGAAATTTATACAAAGGTAACTAACCTCGTGGAGAAACAGCTAGCGTTCTGGTCTCACGAGAGCAAAAATCGAGCGCTACGTTTGTTCACATATGTAAACAATCTAATTTGAACTACATCGATATATGATCGGTGCACATGTTGGTGGAAAGAATATTGTTTGAGTGTTCTATGACATGTTAGCCTTACTATATACATTTCGTGTTATGCAAGGAGTACCGGTAAGCGTCAGAACGGGTGAGAAAATATGAAAACGGTTGCTAAAAACGTGAGAAATCCTCGCTTTAATTGCGGTAGTCTCGTCAGGTTCTTCAAACGTTTGCCATGTCTAAAAAGGCAGACATAAATGTTATCGTAAGTGACTAATCTATCTTTAGCAAGCTCGGTAGTTGGCTCATTCGACTTGTGATGTCATAGGTCACTGATCTATATTTGGCTGGCTGGGATGTTAACTCATTCGACTTGTGATGTCATAGGTCACTGATCTATATTTAGTAAGCTTGGTGATTCGGTCACTCGACTTGTGATGTCATAAATGTTGCTGAACTATGTTTGGCAGGCTGGGTGGTTGGGTCACTCGACCTTCTCGGCAGCCCAACCAGCATGCTACGTGAGGTCACATCCGGCATGGCCGACCTTTTCCGCATGCCATACGAGGGAGCCACCCACGGCCCTGGATCATTTATCGCTGGCATGTCGAGAGGTGCTGCCTCACTGCTGAGACACACATCCGCAGGTAAAATAACTGCTACAGGGTTTCTTCTGATGGAAAATTAGACAACAGAGGTATTTAAATGGCCAGTTTGGGGGGAAAAACGTGCATGAAAGGCGTGCCATAGGTACGCATGTGGACGCTGCAGGCAGACGCGGGGGGAGAGGGGAACCCCCCCTCTCGCGGGGGGGCGTCTCCCCCAACATATTTACACTATTTTGACAACGGCGGGTAAATACAGGAACATTTTCACAATGGCGATGTTAAATTTGACAGAGGCGGTGCGCCACTGTGCCTCTTATGTATAAGAAACCCTGTACTAGTAACGTAGGGGGTCGGTGTCATTAATTAGCGAATGTCGTCAGAGGTCTGTGCTTCAGATCACCCTAATCTTTGTAAACGTGAGTGAATATGAATTTAAAAACCATAAATGAGGATAGAGATCACAGACATACAAATCTGTCGAGTATTACTATCAGGTAGAGAAGAATTAATGATATGTCTTTCAGTCTGTGTATATATAAATGTATTAATAGCCTTAAAATAAATTGTAGCCTACACAATTCTACAGCTTTTGCCTCATTCCTTACCAATTCTTATTCCTCCCATTTACCCTAACATATATAGCCCTGTACATATATCATGGTGTATAATATTATTTCAGCTAACGTACACCTTACTGACTGAGCTCATACTATTTGTGATGGTTTAGGTGCAATCACGTCGGTGACTAACTTTGCACTGAGTGTGTCACGAAATATGGACAAACTGTCGTTGGACAATGATCATGCTATGAGACAGGAAGAGATCAGAAGACACAAGCCAGACAGACTGACCACTGGTCTCAGGCAGGGGCTGACTGGACTGGGAATTAGCCTGTTGGGTAGGTACTATGCCTACATATATTTGTTTACATCAAAAGTATTAATTAAAAAAAATGCTATTAATATAACCATGAACATATCTATATGTACATGATATAATGTTCCATGTTAACATGTTATCCCTGTTTAGTATGTTTGTTATTTATTATATCTATGTTATATTTTCCTTATAATTATAATAAACTGTCTGTATGAATGATAGTGTAAGATTGATTATATCAGGAGTTTATCAATTGATAGACTTCTGATTACATGAATAGATTACATAATTGGATGTCCATGCCTATTCAAAACATACTGTTTACTGGTGAGTAAAGGTCAATATGCGCAATTCATTACGATTGCAGGTGCAGTTGCTGGCATCATTGATCAACCAATTCAGGTGATGACTCGAGCTATCCCTGACAGTGCTGCTGTTACGCCATCACGTGCAGCAACAGGCGCAGCCATTGTCACGGGCGTCGGTAAAGGACTGGTTGGTGTCGTAACAAAGCCATTAGGTGGGGCAGCCGAGCTGGTATCACAGGCCGGACTAGGTTTGTAATGATTTTCTTGTGTAGAGACGTAATTTACACTATAGCATCTACAATCATAAGTTATGGGAAATATCGCCGATTTTCCCATAAAAATTACCGAAATTACCAGTTTCTGAACTGCGTCTGAATGCCCGAATTCTCGAGACAAGCACATAAATCCATTTTAATCAAATTGTCAAAATTTAGCGTCATGGTTTAAGGACCCGTTGCAGACGTTAACAGCAGAAGTTGAATTAAAAATTATTTTCTTTATACATTATTACACGCAGGTCCTCCACGTGAAATTCGAATTTTGGGGAATAAGCTTACAGCTCTAATAGATACGGAATTTGAATCTTCGCTCTTGTATGAATCGGTTTGGCAGAAATTGCCAGAGCATGTTGAAATTACTGTGAATTTCTGTAGTGCAGTACATACAATATTGCAGTCGGTTACAGTGAGGGGTTAGATGTCAAAGGAAGTGTTACCTTATCCAATATTGTTAGCAAGCAAACACGCCCCGTAACAAGCTCCTAGTCCCACTAGCAAGCTAACAAGCCTCTTCACGAGCTCGCAGGCCTGCTACGCAGCTCTCAAGCTTTTTAACAAGCTCACAGGCCTGCTACGAAGCTCTCAAGCCCTTTAACAAGCTCGCAGGCTTGCTATAGGAGTAGGAAGCTTTCAAACCCTTGTTAATTAGACAAGAGGAATTAACATAAGCAGTTACGAGGTCAGGTCCAGAGAAATGTTTCACGGTTGTGTCAGCTCATAGGTCTTTATGACATTTATTAAAAACGAAGTCGCTTGCAGCAGATCAATAATACTTCTGCGCAGCGGACAGCAACACGCGAACGATTATTGTTTTTAGCTCATCTGACGAAGTCAGATCCAGCTCGTAGAATCGCATGATTGTCCGTGTGTCCGTTCGTCTGTGCGTCCGTGCGTCTGCCCGTCGGTCCGTCCGTCCGTCAACAGTTGGGCACAAATATTAACCGCTCGACGTACGGTCACGATATTCGGGAACGTCGGGGGTGGATCGTAAAAAGAACTCAGGATGACAAATTTGGGGGTCAAGGGTCAAAGGTCAAGATGTGTAAACGGAGGGGGAATATTTCCCCCTTAACTAAAGGTATAGGAGGAAATACGGAATTGCGGCACAAATCTTAACGGCTCGACCTATGCTCTTAATATTCGGTGTATAGTGTGATGGGCAGGAAAACCATCACCAGTTCGAAATTGGAGGTCACAGGTCAAAGGGCAGTGGGGGAAAGGTCAGATATCAGACATTTTCTGAGGACATGGCCTAATGGACAGATTGAAAAACTTTTTTGTTTCAGCGCTGACCTAACATTTTTATCACTTTATTGAAAGGACCATGAAATGTCCTTTCCACTGACGTGCGAAGAGTAAGTGTCTGATAACCTTTTGACCCTCAAGAGGAGGGTTAAACATGGATTCCTGAACTGCCTCAATGATGTCACAGTGTTCTCATATTCATGGCACATCCATAATCTAGAAAGCCAATAAGCCTGGATAGCCGAACGCCTACAGCACAGGCATCACGGATCAAAGGTCGTTGGATCGAATCCCATCAGATTTTTTATTATTTACCTGTTTTCTGTATTTTTCTATCTTTATCTATTTAACTATTTTTTTCCAATTAACGCAAATATTTACATGATTTATTTACAACAATTTAATAACAACAAATAATTTTTACAACAATTAATATTTTTTTAATAGGGTTAGGGTTAGGGTCACAATGCACCATAAAACAGGAGCTTCAGACACGCGATTGATTTGTATCAATCAATGGGATTTGGGAGGTATGCAGAATGCAGAAGGTTGCTGAAATGATGTGTACGCAACTGCGTATCTGCATATCTGCGCCTAACAAAGGTGTCACTACGCACGACTTAAATGTTACGTTTATAACCGTAGCAACAGACCTCAGATGAGCCCAGATGCTTTGCGGCTCTTGTTATAGTGTGAGTTGTTATTTGTGGTGGCTGCGATGCGTACATACAAGATTACTGGTATCAATAGCTTCAGCAGTATTTAATGTCACTTGTCTGAACAGTAGACAGTATCCCCTGTAGTACAGTGTTATCCTGACAGACAGTTGTCATGTGCATGAACAATTTTACCAGATTATATAGTGTCACTCTATCTAGACTCATGTTGACTCGTGTTAAGGCAAGATAATATTAACTCTGTTGCAGGCCTGCTTCATGGTGCTGGCTGGTCGCGTTTGCCGAGTCTTCGCTACAGCAGTGCCATTTATCCAGTATCTGAGTTCACGAATGCTCATATCAAGTATCAGTGTAAAGTGCTGCAGAGTAGTGATCTACTAATACCACTGTGTAGAAGGGACGTCATCTGCTGCGTTGAAGCCAGCCCAATCCTGCAGTCTGCCCTGAGTCCATCTAGCTTTCTTGTTCTCACTCCTGAGGTAAGCTTTTGCTGGTGATGCTTTAGGTTTTACTTGCTAGTGTGATTAGCTATGTAACATGAACTATACGGAGCTCTAGGTTTCTGTGCCATTAGTTATATGTAACATCAGCTGTGTAGCACCAGCTCTATGGCTTGCCGTAAACGTCACGCCATCTAATAACGTATAAATTTGACATTAAGACTGAATTGCTGGTAAAAGATGTCATGTGAAACCTTTTTCAGGATTTGTTAGTGAAGGTTGAGTTTTGTTTCAGGCTTTGTTCGTGATCAGTGAAGCAGAGGATAGTCAGCAACAAGCATTTCAAATATCCGAAGTCGACTGTGAGGGCGCAACCAGTGATGCTAGCCTGTTATACATCATTCCACAGTGGCAACTAGAACCTCTCACGAAGGTACGCTCTACTTATATTGCCTGTTGCATATTCTTTAAACGTCTTATGCTGCCCTAATTTCTATGTTTTAGTACTGTTTTGAACTGATTTATTATCAGTCAGATCTCATATAGCATGGAGATTCACCTACTCCATGAAGCTAACCAGCTATATGGCAGGTTTTTGGATAACCAATTCATGATTCAGTACTGGACAGCGCAAATGCACGTACAGCCCCCGTATTTGTCGCTACCGTATGTAGCGCATTTGCGTCTACTTTAGTCCTTCCCGGTGCCTCACATTGCCATTTGTTTCTGGATGGAAAATGACAACTTGCAATTGTCATGGAGTAGTTTAAGCCTCCAACACGTAATTCCTACTTTCACTGTGTAATAATTTCGTGTTACGATGTCTTTTGTGATACTGTCGCTTTACATGCTATACCCCATGTAATAGGTGTTTTCACTTCTTATCATCGTGTAAGTTGCAATGCATTTTACCTATTTCGCCCCGCAGCCTGCAGCACAGACGAAGGATAGAGTCGCAGAATTTGTCGATAGGACGTCTGCACTGGTAACTTGCTATGAGGGTGACCGATCAAGCACCTCCTCACCATCCCTCAGCAGTCAAGGTCACGAAGCTGCCTCCACCAGGGGGAGCCATGCGATGCAGGGAGTGCGATATACGTTCAGCATGGACTCCCGGCTGAGAGAAATGTTCTTGTCCTCGTTTGCCTACACGCAGGCGTCAGCGGAGTATATGCTGCGATAAAGGTACGTGCATGTGGTTCAGCAAGCATTCGTCGTCTTGATGATGTGACCCCCGGGCCCCCACTCCGAGGTCGGAGAGACCGCATGCGCGTTCCCAAAATCTCCGGTAAAGGGGTATTTTTCGCGCGACAAAATCCGGCCCAAGAATTGTAAAAAAGGGGGTGTATTTGACTTTTCACCCGGAGATTTCTTTAAAAAGGGGGTGTTTTTCCTCTCTTCTTTTCATCTGAATATCATAGAAAACTTTATCAAATCCGGGATCAACATTCTCGAAATTCTGCTAGTTTTGAAAAGCTTGCATTCAGGATTATTTCGGATTTAGGGGGGTCTCCAAGGCAGGAAAACCCCGCAAAAAGCCCGCGAAAGGGGGGTTCAGAAATTTTGGCAGTTCTGAGATAGGGGGGTGCTTTCAAAGGAAAGGAACGAGCATATGCGTATCCTAAATAAAACCGAGTGGGGGGCCCGGGATGTGACCCCTTCGTTATGCATGCGGTGGATGTACATTCGCTGTCGACACTCAATTTTATTTGTAACGTTTCATACTGTGATTTTTGCATTAAAACAGGTTATGTGTTGGGTAAGAATCGTTGCAAGGTATAGTAAAATATATGGAGGTTCGATTTAAGTATCTCAATTTATGTGGGGTGAAAGGAACTAGGTTTTCAGCACCACAGCTAAAAAGAAAGGTTAAAACATGACGGATTCTCTGGGAACCCTGATAGTTTAATCTATGCTCTAGATAATAATTCTCTCGGTACAATCGGATGGATATTCGGGCAACCAGTACGTGCGCTGGACGTGCACACGCATAGACACTTTCTGACAATAGTAGTTGTGAAAGAGTTTTTCTGTGATTTTCCTTCATGGGGAGTTATGAAAACTGCTGCATTGTTCAGACACGCTACTGCTATACAGTACAGTCGGTTAGGTCAGGAATCAAGGATACCATCAAAATCGTTCAAAATGTGAAAAAAGTGTGAAAATTGGTACACTTGCATACTTTTGTATGCTCTTTGATTTAAAGACAGGACACACGCGATCCAACTACAACTTCGGCCGCCATCTTGAATTCAAAAATGGCCGCAATTATTTCTTAAAAAATAGCTATATCTCGGTTAATAATCTTCGTACAGACGTAATTTGGGTTACTATTTTATACAACAACGTGATGCATGTGATCCACCATTTCGGATTCAAAATGGTCACCATCAAAATTACAAACTTAGCAATATTTCCGTTCACGGAAGATATAGAGACGTGAAAACGGGCGCAGATTAATAAGCTCTTTCATATTAAAACAAGACACACAAGTTCCAATTATAATTACAGCGGCCATATTGAATTCAACATGGCCGCCATCACATTTTACTCTGTACTTCAAAATGATCAATGACATAGTATAACAGATACAAACAAACATGGTGAAAATGTTGAATTACCGGGTTTTCTCAGTATATAACAAACACAATGCCAAACTGGCAATCCCCAGTGTGAGAGAGAGATAATTCAAGACAACAAGTTGTAGTATACAGTACACAAGAACATGCATGGCAAGCTAAATAATACTATTGTTTAAGTTAAACAAATGTCTCGAAACTGCATTGTCCACAAGTTGTCGCAGATTGTCACTCAGTGCGGTAACATGTACCTGCACAAACACAAATATAGTACTTGTATGTACAGTATAGTATCTGTTATGTGCGTGTGTTCTCGCGGGCGTATAGGTATCTGTTGTGTGCGTGCGTGCTCGCGCGCATTTATAGCTATCTGTTATGTGCGTGCGTGCGTTCTCGCGGGCGTATAGGTATCTGTTATGTGCGTGCGTGCTCGCACGCGTATATAGCTTTTGTTATGTGCGTGCGTGCGTTCTCGCGGGCGTATAGGTACCTGTTATGTGCGTGCGTGCTCGCGCGCGTATATAGCTTTTGTTATGTGCGTGCGTTCTCACGGGCGTATAGGTACCC